GCCTTCAAGGCACAGGATAATGTCCAAAACTGGCATTATCAGGGCCTTGAAAACCCGAAGCTTGGTCCTTCTGCACAGGTACCGACATCTCCAAATACTCTTGTTGAGAGAGTTAATGACCCCTGCTGCCAGGCCAATCCGTCTGCTGACTTCTTGGTCTGATAGCCCAGAATTATGAACTACACTACCAAAGTATGTAAAGCTCTCTGTGACTTCACTGTCCTCGCCGCAAGCACATACCGACTGAACAGGTTCTCCTAGCAAGTCCCCAAAGTCCTGGACCTTGGTCCAGGAGACCTCTTGACTCAAGGGTTTCGCTTCATTGCTAAATGCATCCAGAGGCACCACTAAGGTTTACAAAGACTCAGATAAAACAGCAACATTATCAGCAAATTCAAGGTCAGTAACCTTGCTATTGCCCAGTGCTGCTCCACAATGACTTTGAACAGTATCTCTGCCCAGTATCCAGTCCATGCAAGTGTTGAAAAGAGTTGGCGGAAGGACACAGCCTTGCCTCACTCCTGAACTAACAGGAAAGAGGCTCAAAAGGCCCCCACCACACTTAACAGCACTTTCAGTACCAGTATAAAGGTTTGCTATAAGTCCAATAATCCTCGTTGGAATTCCTCTCAATCTCAGGATCTCCCAGAGTGATTCCCGATGCACCTTGTTGAACGCCTTCTTGAGGTCGATGTAGGCTTCAAGCAGCCCACACCCAAACTCATGTCGGGACTCTACAGTGACTCGAAACGCAAAGATACAGTCTATTGTGGACACCAGGAGTGAATCCGGATTGCTCCAGTCTCTGATGCCTCAGTAGATGGTCTCTGATACGTCTCAGAAGGATGTGGGCGAGAACCTTGCCTGGTATACTGAGCAATGTGAGGCCACGGTGATTGCTGCAGTCCCAACGGCCCCCCTTCCCTTACCAGAGAGGGATGACCACACCCCTCAACAGGTCAGGAGGAACGGTACCAGACTGCCATATGGCAGCCAGGACAGCATGTAAGCCCCGTGCCATAGGTTCACCACCAGCCTTTAACAGTTCAGCTGGTATGCCACAGATCCCTGCTGCTTTACCACTCTTCATCTTGGAAATCGCCCCTCTAACTTCAGTTAGGGAAGGAGGATCCTCCCTGTAGAGTGGGTCCGGCAACGGGATCTCGGCACTCCCCGCATCTAAGTTAACTGTTGGTGGGTCTACCTGGTACAACTGCTCAAAATACTCGGCCCAGCGTTCTCGCACCACAACAGGATCTGAAACGATCTGACCACTTACCAAGCAAACTGCTGTCACCTGTGAAGAGGGCTTGGAGTCCAGCTTTCTCAGGGCTTAGTATGCAGGACGAAGGCCATTTACTAAGAAATGGCCTTCTACCTCCTCTGCAAGATTCCTAATTAACTGTTCCTTATCTTTTCTTAACAGAGACCGAGTTCTGCGCACATGAAACCGGTGCAATTCCCGATCCCCTGTCACACAAGCAGCACGACAAGCATCTGTGGCTTCCAGTGTCTCCTGCGAGATGAAATTCTGTATTGCTCTCGGGCGTACGCCAATTGTATCTTGAGCTGCATCAAGCGTTTCGCGCTTGAAGGTATCCTACGGGAGAATAGGGTCCGTCAGACTGTCGAGCATTGTGAAACGACCAGAGATTGCCTCAGAAAACCCGTGGACACACTCCCCCTCCCTCAGCCTGTCCAATTGAAACACCCTAGGGTGATCATTTGACCGCTGGGGAGTTTTGAAGTGGACCCGGAGGGTAGCCACAACCAGTCTATAATCAGTACCACAGAACTCAGCACTCCTGTACACCCTGCAATTCTGGAGGATCCTCCAACGAGTACTGACAAGTATGTGGTCTCCTAGGCTGCATTACCCGCATCGCTGTACCATGTCCAATGATGTGGGTCCAGACGCTAGTACCAGGAGCCAGAAATCCTCAATTTCTGGGACCTAGCAAAGTTCCGGAAAAGGAGGCTATTCTCACTACTGGCATCAGCTCCTGAGCCATGGGGACCGACAAACATCTCATAGCCAGCTCGATTACAACCAGATACTGCATTGAAGTCACCCAGAACAAGGTGAATATCTCGTCGGGGACATCTGTCTGCCACAGATGCAAGTTTGGCATAGAACATCTCTTTCACATCAAGTTTACAAACATTGGTAGGAGCGTACACAGCAATAAGAGATATGAAGCCAAAAGATAGCTTCAGTCTCAATACCATTATATGCTCATCAACAGGAGTAACCTCTATTACCGAGGACTGGAGTCTGCTGGAGATGGCAATGGCTACTCCCTGGAGGTGATGACCGTCGCTGCGGCCCGACCAGTAGTAGGTGTAGCCACCTACACTGGTCATGCCGTTGCCAGGTCTCCTCACCTCTATTAGAGAGCAGCCACTTCAACTCTCAGCCTCCCCAGTTCCCTCGACAGCAGAGGCAACCGATCATCCTGACGCAAATAACGGATGTTCCAAGCCCCCACCCTGACTTCCC